AAAACTCCAAAAATGGACTGGACATAATTATTGGCACCTTCAATAATATTTGGTAGCGCAGCCCTGGGAAAAATACGTGAAATCAATGGCTTCCTGTGACCATCAATGAGTTTCTTACACCTCTCTGCAGGAATTTTGGAGCACTCTTCTCTCACCAACTGCTCCAGGACTCTCAGATTGGAAGGTTCCTTTTCCCAATCTCTCCACAGGTGCTCTATGGGATTTGGATCTGGACTCATAGATCATCAGAGATCGTCATAGATCATTATAAATCCACATAGATCATCTTAGATCCCTATTGATCATCACAGGTCCTCATAGAGCGGAAATGGGTGAAGAAAGCGACATTTCGGACAATGGGGATACGTTTCCACTCGCTGGTCCTCTGTCAGCTCAGAGCTCCTCCTCGGTGACAACGTGACAGAGCCACTAATGGTGCCCAGGCATGAAAGATGGTCCCCTCCCCCCAGTCTATCAGTGTGAGTGTCAGTCTATCAGTGTGACAGTCCCTGTCCTCGGTGTCCGCTCTTCACAGATGTCACACAGTCCCTCTCTCAGTCCCAGCAGTCATGTCACACTGTCCCTCTCTCTCGGTCCCAGCAGTCATGTCACAGTGTCCCTCTCTCTCTCTCTTGGTCCCAGCAGCCAGTGTCCCTCTCTCTCCCTCGGTCCCAGCAATCATGTCACCCTGTCCCTCTCTCTCTCTCGGTCCCAGCAATCATGTCACCCTGTCCCTCTCTCTCTCTCGGTCCCAGCAATCATGTCACCCTGTCCCTCTCTCTCTCTCGGTCCCAGCAATCATGTCACCCTGTCCCTCTCTCTCTCTCGGTCCCAGCAATCATGTCACCCTGTCCCTCTCTCTCTCTCGGTCCCAGCAATCATGTCACCCTGTCCCTCTCTCTCTCTCGGTCCCAGCAATCATGTCACCCTGTCCCTCTCTCTCTCTCGGTCCCAGCAATCATGTCACCCTGTCCCTCTCTCTCTCTCGGTCCCAGCAATCATGTCACCCTGTCCCTCTCTCTCTCTCGGTCCCAGCAATCATGTCACCCTGTCCCTCTCTCTCTCTCGGTCCCAGCAATCATGTCACCCTGTCCCTCTCTCTCTCTCGGTCCCAGCAATCATGTCACCCTGTCCCTCTCTCTCTCTCGGTCCCAGCAATCATGTCACCCTGTCCCTCTCTCTCTCTCGGTCCCAGCAATCATGTCACCCTGTCCCTCTCTCTCTCTCGGTCCCAGCAATCATGTCACCCTGTCCCTCTCTCTCTCTCGGTCCCAGCAATCATGTCACCCTGTCCCTCTCTCTCTCTCGGTCCCAGCAATCATGTCACCCTGTCCCTCTCTCTCTCTCGGTCCCAGCAATCATGTCACCCTGTCCCTCTCTCTCTCTCGGTCCCAGCAATCATGTCACCCTGTCCCTCTCTCTCTCTCGGTCCCAGCAATCATGTCACCCTGTCCCTCTCTCTCTCTCGGTCCCAGCAATCATGTCACCCTGTCCCTCTCTCTCTCTCGGTCCCAGCAATCATGTCACCCTGTCCCTCTCTCTCTCTCGGTCCCAGCAATCATGTCACCCTGTCCCTCTCTCTCTCTCGGTCCCAGCAATCATGTCACCCTGTCCCTCTCTCTCTCTCGGTCCCAGCAATCATGTCACCCTGTCCCTCTCTCTCTCTCGGTCCCAGCAATCATGTCACCCTGTCCCTCTCTCTCTCTCGGTCCCAGCAATCATGTCACCCTGTCCCTCTCTCTCTCTCGGTCCCAGCAATCATGTCACCCTGTCCCTCTCTCTCTCTCGGTCCCAGCAATCATGTCACCCTGTCCCTCTCTCTCTCTCGGTCCCAGCAATCATGTCACCCTGTCCCTCTCTCTCTCTCGGTCCCAGCAATCATGTCACCCTGTCCCTCTCTCTCTCTCGGTCCCAGCAATCATGTCACCCTGTCCCTCTCTCTCTCTCGGTCCCAGCAATCATGTCACCCTGTCCCTCTCTCTCTCTCGGTCCCAGCAATCATGTCACCCTGTCCCTCTCTCTCTCTCGGTCCCAGCAATCATGTCACCCTGTCCCTCTCTCTCTCTCGGTCCCAGCAATCATGTCACCCTGTCCCTCTCTCTCTCTCGGTCCCAGCAATCATGTCACCCTGTCCCTCTCTCTCTCTCGGTCCCAGCAATCATGTCACCCTGTCCCTCTCTCTCTCTCGGTCCCAGCAATCATGTCACCCTGTCCCTCTCTCTCTCTCGGTCCCAGCAATCATGTCACCCTGTCCCTCTCTCTCTCTCGGTCCCAGCAATCATGTCACCCTGTCCCTCTCTCTCTCTCGGTCCCAGCAATCATGTCACCCTGTCCCTCTCTCTCTCTCGGTCCCAGCAATCATGTCACCCTGTCCCTCTCTCTCTCTCGGTCCCAGCAATCATGTCACCCTGTCCCTCTCTCTCTCTCGGTCCCAGCAATCATGTCACCCTGTCCCTCTCTCTCTCTCGGTCCCAGCAATCATGTCACCCTGTCCCTCTCTCTCTCTCGGTCCCAGCAATCATGTCACCCTGTCCCTCTCTCTCTCTCGGTCCCAGCAATCATGTCACCCTGTCCCTCTCTCTCTCTCGGTCCCAGCAATCATGTCACCCTGTCCCTCTCTCTCTCTCGGTCCCAGCAATCATGTCACCCTGTCCCTCTCTCTCTCTCGGTCCCAGCAATCATGTCACCCTGTCCCTCTCTCTCTCTCGGTCCCAGCAATCATGTCACCCTGTCCCTCTCTCTCTCTCGGTCCCAGCAATCATGTCACCCTGTCCCTCTCTCTCTCTCGGTCCCAGCAATCATGTCACCCTGTCCCTCTCTCTCTCTCGGTCCCAGCAATCATGTCACCCTGTCCCTCTCTCTCTCTCGGTCCCAGCAATCATGTCACCCTGTCCCTCTCTCTCTCTCGGTCCCAGCAATCATGTCACCCTGTCCCTCTCTCTCTCTCGGTCCCAGCAATCATGTCACCCTGTCCCTCTCTCTCTCTCGGTCCCAGCAATCATGTCACCCTGTCCCTCTCTCTCTCTCGGTCCCAGCAATCATGTCACCCTGTCCCTCTCTCTCTCTCGGTCCCAGCAATCATGTCACCCTGTCCCTCTCTCTCTCTCGGTCCCAGCAATCATGTCACCCTGTCCCTCTCTCTCTCTCGGTCCCAGCAATCATGTCACCCTGTCCCTCTCTCTCTCTCGGTCCCAGCAATCATGTCACCCTGTCCCTCTCTCTCTCTCGGTCCCAGCAATCATGTCACCCTGTCCCTCTCTCTCTCTCGGTCCCAGCAATCATGTCACCCTGTCCCTCTCTCTCTCTCGGTCCCAGCAATCATGTCACCCTGTCCCTCTCTCTCTCTCGGTCCCAGCAATCATGTCACCCTGTCCCTCTCTCTCTCTCGGTCCCAGCAATCATGTCACCCTGTCCCTCTCTCTCTCTCGGTCCCAGCAATCATGTCACCCTGTCCCTCTCTCTCTCTCGGTCCCAGCAATCATGTCACCCTGTCCCTCTCTCTCTCTCGGTCCCAGCAATCATGTCACCCTGTCCCTCTCTCTCTCTCGGTCCCAGCAATCATGTCACCCTGTCCCTCTCTCTCTCTCGGTCCCAGCAATCATGTCACCCTGTCCCTCTCTCTCTCTCGGTCCCAGCAATCATGTCACCCTGTCCCTCTCTCTCTCTCGGTCCCAGCAATCATGTCACCCTGTCCCTCTCTCTCTCTCGGTCCCAGCAATCATGTCACCCTGTCCCTCTCTCTCTCTCGGTCCCAGCAATCATGTCACCCTGTCCCTCTCTCTCTCTCGGTCCCAGCAATCATGTCACCCTGTCCCTCTCTCTCTCTCGGTCCCAGCAATCATGTCACCCTGTCCCTCTCTCTCTCTCGGTCCCAGCAATCATGTCACCCTGTCCCTCTCTCTCTCTCGGTCCCAGCAATCATGTCACCCTGTCCCTCTCTCTCTCTCGGTCCCAGCAATCATGTCACCCTGTCCCTCTCTCTCTCTCGGTCCCAGCAATCATGTCACCCTGTCCCTCTCTCTCTCTCGGTCCCAGCAATCATGTCACCCTGTCCCTCTCTCTCTCTCGGTCCCAGCAATCATGTCACCCTGTCCCTCTCTCTCTCTCGGTCCCAGCAATCATGTCACCCTGTCCCTCTCTCTCTCTCGGTCCCAGCAATCATGTCACCCTGTCCCTCTCTCTCTCTCGGTCCCAGCAATCATGTCACCCTGTCCCTCTCTCTCTCTCGGTCCCAGCAATCATGTCACCCTGTCCCTCTCTCTCTCTCGGTCCCAGCAATCATGTCACCCTGTCCCTCTCTCTCTCTCGGTCCCAGCAATCATGTCACCCTGTCCCTCTCTCTCTCTCGGTCCCAGCAATCATGTCACCCTGTCCCTCTCTCTCTCTCGGTCCCAGCAATCATGTCACCCTGTCCCTCTCTCTCTCTCGGTCCCAGCAATCATGTCACCCTGTCCCTCTCTCTCTCTCGGTCCCAGCAATCATGTCACCCTGTCCCTCTCTCTCTCTCGGTCCCAGCAATCATGTCACCCTGTCCCTCTCTCTCTCTCGGTCCCAGCAATCATGTCACCCTGTCCCTCTCTCTCTCTCGGTCCCAGCAATCATGTCACCCTGTCCCTCTCTCTCTCTCGGTCCCAGCAATCATGTCACCCTGTCCCTCTCTCTCTCTCGGTCCCAGCAATCATGTCACCCTGTCCCTCTCTCTCTCTCTCGGTCCCAGCAGTCATGTCACAGTGTCCCTCTCTCTCTCTCTTGGTCCCAGCAGCCAGTGTCCCTCTCTCTCTCTCGGTCCCAGCAATCATGTCACCCTGTCCCTCTCTCTCTCTCTGGGTCCCAGCAGCCAGTGTCCCTCTCTCTCCCTCGGTCCCAGCAATCATGTCACCCTGTCCCTCTCTCTCTCTCTCTCGGTCCCAGCAGTCATGTCACATTGTCCCTCTCTCCCTGGCAGTAGGCAGGGAGGCTCCGCCCCCGGTGAGGTCAGAGCCCCGCCCCCCGGTGCAGGCTGGCGGAACTGTGCTCGGGTTGCTCTCGCAGTTCGCGCTGGGCATCCCGGGCACCGATCCTTCTCGGAGCTTCTCCGCCGCCGCCATGGCGACCATCCTGTGCCGGGTGCAGTACCTGGATGACATGGACCCGTTCATCTGCACCAACTTCCCGGAGCCCCGGAGACCCCCGGTCCACAAGTTCCCGGAGAGCAGCCCGCTCAGCGATCAGCTGCCCGCCCTGCACAAGCTGCTGGAGGCTCCGCTCAAGGTACAATATGGGGGGGGCCCTTACCCTGTATGGGGGTGCCTATGTCTCATTCATGTCATGGGATGGGGCTGGGGGTCCAGCTGGATCTGGGACTTTGATGTGGTTAATGTCATGTAGCAGCTCAGACCTCTTTGATGTCTTTATTATTACATGCCCTGGTGGGGGGTCCCCTAATATGAAGAGTTGGGGGTCCCCTAATATGAAGAGTTGGGGGTCCCCAATATGAAGTGTTTGGGGGGTGCAGAACATTCTGGGACTTTGCAGTAAAGTCATGTTGGGAATTATTGATGTCATCCCTATCCTGGTGGGATCTGATCAGGATGGGGGTGGTGTCAGGAGAATCTGGGACTTTAGGGGTTAATGGTCCATGTTGGGGCTCATGTCCCATGGGTGACATCACTGTTGGGAATTATTGATGTCATCCCTATCCTGGTGGGATCTGATCAGGATGGGGTCGGTGTCAGGAGAATCTGGGACTTTAGGGGTTAATGGTCCATGTATTGGTTGGGGGTTGTATGACTTTTCTGTGACTTTGCAGTGGAGTCTAGAAGGGTTAACGTCAGATTGGGGCTCATAGGGATTCTATTACTGCTACAGGACCTATTCTGGGGGGGGGTCTGATATGGGAAGTTTGGGGATATCCTATAGACAGGAGGGGCTTTGAGAAGAATCAGGGGCTTTGCTATGCAATTTAAAGGGTTAATGGTCATGCTGGGGCTCATGTCCCATGGATGCCATCGCTGCTTTGACCAAAATTGGGGGGGCTCTGATCTAAAAGGTTTGGGGGTTCCTGTAGGTGGGATTGGGTTTTAACTGAATGT